CTTTTGGCAAGTAAATCTTGGGAAATCGTCACATTTTTTTAAGTTTTTCCCAATGTTTTATGTTAAAGAAATTCGTTAATCTTTCTCTCTCTCTCTCTCTCTCTCTTTAATTTAAATTGAATTTACATTTTTTAAATTTTACACAATACACATTTAATGCAGTATTTTTTTAAGAATAAAGGTGCTATCTCATGTTGACGCTCGACGCTCATTCTTAGCGTCAAAACAGATTAAAATTGACGCTTGAAAATCGTCAATTTTTATCATATAATTTATTTTGACGATAAAAATGAGCGTCAGCATGAAATGGTACTTCAAATCTATTTTTTTATTTATCGATTATGCATCTTGAAATTAGGAAAATTTGAGGAAAATTACAAAAGTGAGCACATTTATTAGAATATTTAATAAATTTTATTGAAAAAAAAAACAACACTATGAACTTATTCATTTTTATAATTTTACCTACTTTCAAAGGAATTTCAAGGTATACAAATGATGCCGAAATTCGAGCTAGTGATCGATAAATCGCAGCAATTTCCTCGACTTAACCTAAAATGAAAGTGACTTAAGAGACACCTTGGTGCTTGGCACATAAACGAGAATTGTGGGAGGAGGTTAAAATAATTTTTTAATTATACGAAGAAATTATCTAAATTAAAAAGTAAAAATGACGAAATAATTATCTAGACGCTATATAACCTCAAAGAGAGATTAAAAAGGCATATACAACAAAAAAAAAATTACTTAAAAAAAGAAGAAAACGTCTAAACGTAAGCCCGATTGGAATCTGCCAAGTGGTGATTGGTGGTGATTTTGTTATTCGTAGAATCGCACAGATTGTAAACTAAATGGGACTCACATCTAGCCTCGTGTTCTCGATGTTTTGGAGCGATTCATTCCCGCAGCCGACGTAGCTGACAACTTCCGCGTCAGCCCGTCAGGGAATACGTTGATCGACTAATGGGGAACGAAAAAAGTGCTCTGCGTGGTCTCGAAATCGAAGACAAAGCCGTCGAGGTGACGGATTATTGGATGCACTATGATGCTTACGTGCACGACTCGAGTCTGCAGAGACTTTCCATCTTCATCAGCGAACCATCCTTGCACTTTGCAGCAACATTTGGGAGACCGTCACCGCTAGAACGAGCGGCAAAGGTTGATATTTGTCCTGACTTTTTCATTTTTAAGTACTCTTAAAGTTAGATACATATAGGATGTTTTCCAATAAGGTACATAATACAGTGAATCATTACATCCTTATTGTTTACCAACGTTAGGAAAGATAAAATTATTCACTGTAGAGGTATTTTTCAGTAAGACACAGATAATACAATATAATGAATCAGTTTATTCTTGTTTAATTGGCAAACAATAAGGATGTAATGATTTGTTACATTGTGTTTTTACTAGAAAATGCCTATAAATCGAGAATACTTTTCATTTCCTGATACTACTTGACACAATATAATACAAAGCATTGCATCCTTATTGGTTACCAATTTAAACAAGAATAAAATTTACTGTGTTATCTGTGTCTTGCTGAAAAACACCTATAGAGTATTTCTTGAATTATTCAGGAGTTTTTTTTAACAAGAAACGCATATTGTCACAGAAATCATTGTTTTATTCAATATTTAGTGAAAAAAAAGACAGAATGATGTTTTGTTGATATGTATTTCTTGCTGGAAAACTCTCTTTATCTTGACAAACTTGGAAATAGGAATACTTTAAAATCTTATGATTTTTTTATGCTATTCCTTTATATATAGTAACATTGTGGATTATATAACATATACATTTATTGTGAAAATTAAATCAGACAAAATAAGTGGATTTAATGTATGTTTTAGAATTTTATGTTACATCGACATCCTTGTATCCTGAAATATATTTCTTCATGGAACAAAGGTAGCAAATTCTTTCTTGCCACGGAAGAGGCTAGGCCATTGGTCCAAGTTATCGAAAAGCAGAATGTACTACAAATATGTATTGGTTTACACAGTATCTTACGAGCCTTAATATTTCTACATGAGACTGCACTGGCGTCACATAATAATGTGTGCAGTAGCTCTATTTACGTCACCACAGAGGGGTATTGGAAATTGGGTGGATTAGAATGCTTGTGTAAATTTGCAGATGCGACGCCAAAATATTACCAACGAATAAAGAATTACAGATACGAGAAAGCAATATCGTCGAATGAAGATATAGTTGATTTAATTATAACTGCTAATCTTACTGCTATTGATTCGTATGCATTTGGAGTATTAGCAGAAGATATTTTGAAGAATTTACAAGATACAGGTATATAAAGATCAAAAGCCATACCATAGATGCTGTCCTTGTCAAATAACATATATGTGCTAAAATGCTTTAAATTTCAACTAATTTCAGATGAAGCACCAAACTTGCAGGAATTTAGTGAATTTTGTAAAAAGAATCTGCAGAATCCAGATGCATGTTTGAGAAATAGATTATTGAATGTGCTGCAGCATTCATTTTTCACTCATGAATTTATAAGAATACATGCATTTTTGGAGGAATTACCATTGAAAACTGATGTTGAAAGGGAAGAGTTTTTTACGTAAGCAATTTCAGACAAAATATATTAATTTATTACATAATATGTAGCATAAAAGTTGCATATAGATAATTTGTTACTTTTTAGGAAATTAAGGCAGCAATTACAGATGTATCCCGAGGCTGTTGTTGCTGAGCAACTAGGCAGAGTGCTTCTTTCCAGGATAGTTTTGTTGGATAGCACTGCCCAAGTAAAGCTTTTACCTTTTATCTTTAAACCCAAAGGTTAGGATATATCTATTGCATCTAGCATAATTAATTTTTATCATAAAGTTATTTCATATGTTATATATTAATATCTTTGTTGCATCTAATAAAATGCTTAATATTTCTTGCAGACGAAAAAACTGATTTGGGGACTAGTCTATTTACAGTTCCTACTTTTAAGACTATCTTAGTACCAAGACTTCTACAAATGTTTTGCATTCGAGATGTTTCTATTCGTCTGCTGTTGCTGTCTCACTTTAGTTCATTCGTTCACGTATTCGAAGCTGACGAATTGAAAAATCACATTCTTCCCGAATTACTCGTTGGAATAAAGGACACCAACAACGATCTCGTTTGCGCCACGTTAAGGGCACTCGCTGACATAGTGCCAATTTTAGGCGCGGCGGCGGTTATCGGTGGAAACAGGGGAAAATTATTTACGGACGGTCGGCCGAATAAGAAAATGATTCGCAATAAAAATCTCGATGATATTAGGAAAGCTTTAACGTTCACTCAAGAGATGCCTGTCTTCGTGAATGTAGATGAGAATAACGTACATTTAGCGGAAAGACCATCGCCAGATGGTGGTGAGGACAAGAAGGAGAAGGAATTTTCGTTCACCGAGGAGGAATACACCTGGTCGGATTGGGAAACACAAGAACCAGTTGGGAATGGTCATTGTGATGTAGAAGAAGCTTCTTCGGACAATGCGCAAGCGGAAGTTCAAGATCCTTGCAATATGGACTCATCCTCGCCTTTGCCTGACTTACCGTCGAGCTCTGAGAAATCAAAGTATACAAAGAAACTAGTACTTAACGATATAACTGAGCTCGATATAAAGAATTCGAAGGTAATAAGATCTGCGAAGGAAGAATTCGACTTCTTCACCGATATGGAGCCTGTGATACAGAAGACGCAGATCTTACACGTTCCGGAAGTGCAATCGCCAAAGAGCATGTTCGACGTAAAAACGTCGGGTGCCACTTTGGAAGAACTTGACATTAATGGTTGGGGGGAAGACTTGAGTGATTTGAGTATAGATGATACGTACGAACTGGCGAAACAGTGAGCGCGATGAGAAGAGAAACTATTTGAATAAAGAAGCGAACGAGCTTCGTACAACAAATGATATTCTCCCAATTGTATCCGTTTTTATTAACGTCCAATATATGTGATTACAATACCGTATAGTATATTATCCAAATAAGTATTTTTAATAAATGTAAAATATATATATGAGATAGAGGCTACAGTTATACAATATTTCTTTGGTGTAAGTTTTTTTTTTATTAAGCCATAAAAATATTATTTAGATATATACGTTTATCGAGCAGAATTCCACTGATTCTATAAAAATATTTGTCGCAATTGAGGATTTTTTTATATCTACTTCTGTCGATAAATTAACTTTTATCTTACTTTAACTTACTTTTTATTTTTCTCTAATTATAGAATTAGAAAAAGATAAAATTAAACCGAGAGATTAAAATAATTTATATTGATTGAATTAGATAAAGATTTTGTTTTATTATAGACCAGAACAGTTAGAGAGAGAGAGAGAGGGGGGGGGGGGCTTTCTAAACTAAGCTATTAGCAATAAATCAGAAGTCAGAAGCTAGAAATACAGTCGTGAAAAGAACAATCGCCTATGATTGATCAATTTTAACTTCTGATTTCTGATTTATTATTAATGATCTTGTATCTGATTTTTGTGAAAAACTTTTTAAAAGAAAGCAATTGGGATATTTCAAGAGGTGCATTCCGTTTCTCGCATGATGTGCATAATGCATCATTTATCTCTATTGCTTACTAAATGTTGAACAAGGATGCATCATGTGTGAAACGGAACGCACTTATTAATATCATATGTTTGCAATTGCAACATCAAGATATCTTTTCATACATCACACTGCTCAATTTAATAGCATTGCTCGCGATTTAGTAATGATTGGATCATGGATTGGATCACGTTACTGACAGTTCACCAACGATGTTTCAGTGACTGAACGTCATTGGTGAATTGTCAGTCATGTGATCTTTTTAGCGATGAGTACTGTATGAAAAGATACCTTTATGTTCCGGAGTGGACTTAAGGATTTCGAAATCCGGCTGTCTACCATGGACTGTTTGGACACAGTATAGTTCAAATTGTTGATTGTTTACGGTTAGAGCGATTTCAGTCGTAGTTAGAAGGAATTTGCGTTCGCATAATGCGCGATGACGATGCAGACCGGGTGCTGGATGCGGAGCAGTGGCGGCTGGAAGCTCAGGCGGTAATCAACGACGTGAAAAAGCACGTGCAGAACCTAAGAGTGTCCGAGCGGCTAATCAGCACGAACCAGGTCATTTACTTAAACCTGATCACGCTGGAGGGTCTGCGGTTTTGCGTGGAACTGTCAGCGGCCGGCTTCGCTATCGTCGGTAATCGGCACGACGACACGTCGAATACGGGCAATGAGCGCTTCGAAACGCCTTACAGCCTCCTGAACTTCGTCAGTCCGCAGTACAGAAACTCCTTCGGGAACGCACTATTAGATAAACTGAAGGAACTAAGCGATAAACAGTAGATTTCGGAAGATAATAGAAAAGGAGCAACATTTATTGTTTTTAGATCGTTGTTTAGGTTAAGAGTTAGGTTATATTAAATGCATTGAATCTCCCAGTGAGCTCTATGATATATTGGGGCATGTTTCTTTATTTTTTATATTCTCAGACTTTTTACCACGTTTTTCTTATATTAAATTATAGAAAATTGTAGCTTGAGAAGAAAGGCAAACAAATACTTGTCTTTTTTTATTCTTTTCTGCAAACAGTATTAGCGAATCAGCTGTCTCTGACAGAGAAAACACTATAGTTTTTTATTATCACAGTATTATTGTTTAGAAATTGGGACATCCATGTTCTTCAATAGTATGCCCTAGTATATTATAAATCTCACTGAATTCTTCAGGACTGATATAAGTCTGTTATAAAACTCGCTTATATAAATCTCTGTTAAAAATGTCAAACAATTTAATTTCCTTATATCACATCTGCAAATTTAGATTATTCATATTAAAGTATATTTATTTAGTAGTTTTTATGTAATTTTAGTTTAAAGTTAATTAGTGCAATATATTTAATTAAGGGTCTCATTATTTTCAATTACTTTATGTTTGTTTTTGCCAATGTGGATTAACTTCAATCCTGGTTAAATTTGATCTCCTTATCTTTTTCTAATTCTTAGAATTAGAAAAATATGAAGAATTGGTTAAAATTAAAACTAAACTATATTAAAATTAAACTATATTGATAGAAATGTATATTAATCGGCTGATTATTCCATTGGAACTGACCAATCGTATTTATCATTAAACAGAATTGATTAACACTTAATTAACCGACCAACCTTAATAATTGTTAATTAGAGATGATGAAAGAAACTTTAATGTTTGTTTCCATTAATGTAAATTAATTTGAATCTTGGTTTGTTTTACTCTTAATTTTTTTCTGTTCTAAGGATTATAAAAAGATGAACAGTAAGTTGAACCAAAATTAAAGTTCATCTATATTGATGAGAGTGAATATAAATGTACATTACAGACCCGGATTTTGGCGTCAGCTCCGGATTAATTATATCACGAAGGATTAATTATATCACAAGCGTATTTATCATAATTAGTATCATGCAATTTGGAACAAAACAGTTTATATTATAGCTTTTAAATTATTTTGATTATTCTATGTGAAAATGGAACTCGAGCTCAAGGAATATCTTTAAGCGTCGCGTCGATGCGTTTAGGATCGTAATTAAGTCTGCGTCTATAACTACGTTTATAATCGAGATCATATTTTCGACGAATTGCGAAATCACTTTAACTTGAAAGGAAATCTTGATGCCTTGTTAAAAAGAAAAAAATTGCGAGAGGTGAGTTGTCTTTCATAAGAAGATCAATTGTTGATTTATCTTGTTTTTTTTACGCTTCTAGTTGTAAGTTTGTTTGTCTAGTTTGTAAAAACAGAATTATCTCATCCTGCCTATTTTTAGATTAGTTTGTATACTCGTTCCGTAATAGATTCTATAATGTGAAATGACAGAAGGTTTATTTTTTTATTTTTGCACTAGAAACGTGAACTTTTCTTGTGACTTTCATTAAATTTCAAACATCTATTTTACTTTAAAAGTACAAAAAATGTATACTAATTCAACTATAAAAAACAGACCTATAAATATATATATAAAGAAAGAAAATGAGACTTTTGAAAATACAATGCCTGATTTATTGGAAACTTTGACTTGTGCCACTTTACCCAAACTTCTGAAATAACTCTTGGAATTTTATAGAGTTTTAATTCCTTTGCCCACTTCTTTTTTGCTTTTTTCCAATTTTATTTTCTTCTATTATGAATTTTTATAATAAATTTATCAAATTAATTTTATTAAAATCAAGTTTTTTTACGAAGCCTATCACAGATTATATGTTTATTCATATTTATTCTTTATTTATCTTTTATATTTTTAATTATTTCTAGCAAATATACTTTTCTCGTATCCTTGTACTTTTATTTCGTATTTATAAGAATTGAAGAAGTTGTAAACATTTTTAGGACTAAATTTAAAATCTTTAAATTTCGTCGCTGATTTATCGTTCTCAGAAAGCGCAAACGTTCTGTTATCGTCTTCCGAAGCGATTTTCTAACGTTTTCGGTCTAATCAATGACTTCACAGACGCAAAATGACGCATACGTCTTATCATATTGTGCGTTGTTCCAGCGCAACTGCGACGCAATGGCTTATATTCTCGTGGGCGACGAGAAAATGAGGAGATAATCTTACTGAGAATTCGATTGACCAACGCGACAAAAGATATCAGCCGAGTAGTGAAAGATAAATATTAAAATTTTTTGCATTCTCTCTCTCTCGAACGATTGCACTAGCATTTCAAACAGGTCTCGTGTGTCAAGTTTATCGTTTGCATTTACAAAACAATTCTGTAATTCAAATTTCGCTTTCAACTCGTTCCGCATTCGCCACTTTAGACGGTTTATTTTCCAGGGCCAGAGGATCGGAGATATAGTTACTCGAAGCGACTTTTGAAAGTATTGAGAATACTAATATCTGAATACGAATTTAATTCGTATGAAGGTGAAGGTGAACGCCTTAACAACTTCTGTGAAACAGGACGTTTTTATTCTTAAAATTCTATGTAAAGCTGTTATTGTTAACTATTATTATATTGTAAAGCTATTGGTGTTTTCTAGCAAGAGATAGACACTAAAAAAATTATTTTGACTAAATTAACTTAGTTGTCTTTATTTCTTTTGTTGGAGAATGTATGTATTTAAGTCAAATGAATAATTCTTTTCTCAGTGCAGTGTAATACAATGATCATTTCATCTTTGTTTAATTGACAAACAACCAGGATGTGATAGTTTATTGTGCGCCTTATTAGAAAAGCAGCCTATATTTTTTGTTTAATACTTTTGTTTAATTCTTTTCTTTTTCTTTTTTTCCTCTAATGATCCCCGACTCACAAAGGCGGATTACAGATATGAAGTTCAAATCATTTGGATGTCACTGATATTAAAGGATTAATTGATGCGTTGTCTGGAAGTTAATCAGGTATTGCTCGAACGTCCGTTCTTTGTATAGTTACATCATTTATGGAATGTAAATAAAATTATTTTTCTTTTAAACAGTCAACATAAACATCATTTTATCTTTCTTGACATCCAATGAATAAACAAAGGTAAAACGACATTATGTCTTCTAAAGAGAAAGCAGCCAAATATATATAATTAGATCTTATACAAGAGTAAAATGTCTAACATCATATATTTTATTTTATTTTAACATAATTAGACGTTGAACAAAAGAAAAGAAAAAATGGGAAGGTACCATAAAAACATTGTTTTCTATGATAATAATAATGTATTCTTCCTTAAATATGCATGAAGTATGTATGAGACTTTTGGAGATTGGGAATTGCGAAACTAGAATTTTATCAAACGACTTGATTAAATTCGAATGATACAGATTAAAACTAAACTTATCTGATTGTCGAATCCTAATCTTCAACGCGCCTGAGGCCGAAATTAAACTACGCATTGAAAATTGAGATTAAAAATTGAAATTTGACCGATGAGAATAAAAGAATTTTAACTTTTATTATTTTGATTAGCCAAAATTCAATCGTCAATATGTAGTCTGATTCCTGTCTAATAGAAACTCGATATATAAGTGTATTTAAAAAAAAAGGTCTTTCTCTTTGCCTGTAAAACTCATTGAAAAATAAGTATATGAATTGCAGTAGAATGCTGTCGCCTCGCGTTACGTCATTTCATGTTTCTCTCTCGATAAAAGTTTTAATTTTTCTGAAGTATTATATAAATTTTAAAATTTTTCAGAATTTCTGAATTTTATAACTTTGTAAAAAAGTTCTTCATGTATACAAGTTGGAATACTCCTCGAAAGTGCCAAGAAAAGTCTACACACATTTTTTCTAGAATTCTTCATAAATGTAAATACTGAAATATTTTTTTTTTAAGATTTCTCATCTTAGGGTTGTTGACGAACTTTTGCAAAATCTGAAAAAATTTAAGGTAATCAAGTATTGAATGAGAAACTAAAATTGTATACATTTGCGTTAGGCGTGTCTCCACACTTCTATGATTCTTTTATACTTTATTTCTCATGGACTTTGTAACCGTAACCTTGTTGGTGCCTCACCTTTTGTATATTTTATATATTCTGTGTACGTATACAAGTGGATAATAAAATTAAAAAAATTAATGAGAAATCTCAGAATATGTCAGAATTCATATATATGAAAAATCCTAAGAGATGTAGACTTTCTAAGTCTACTATTCTCTAAAAAAATGTTTTTCAAAACGTATGAAAAAACATTATGAAAAAAATGTTCCTGATATAATAAAAAGTTCGAGCTACGAGGAACGAGTCCCGAGGTACCAGGTCGCCTAGTGCCGTCCCTGCCATTAAATACACCCGTCTCGAATCTCGATTGCGCGGCGGGGCCACCTTCCGCGAATCGACACGGGAGAGTCGGGAGCCTCTCTCGCCGCGCTCTCGTGTGGCGTGGTATTTCTTCACGATGGCACGCGGGAGATCAGTCAGTGTGCGATGACACGCCCGTGTCGTCTCGCAGCGAGCGTGTAGTGGCAGAATCAGTCGCGCGGTGCTTGGACGTGGTGCAGCCGTGCCCGTTGCGCTTTGTCCCGTCTTGTCGCGTGTATACGAGTGACCGAGTGTACGTACGCAAGAGGACACGACACGCGAGTTCTCGACAAAGAAAAGGACGGACGGAGTAAAGGTATATAAACCAAGGAGTAAACGGGGCCGACGCGCCACGCATCGCAGGGTGCTGATCGCGCATTCGTGGGTCCCGACGTTACGTAGGACATCCTGGACATCGTGGGATACTGCGCGGCGGACGAGGTGAGAGCGACGACGATGCGACATGATGCGACACGATTTCGCGAGCGTGCGTGAGAGAAAGAGCGCGAGCGAGCGAGCGAGGCTGTGTCGTGAAAGTGTGTCTGACTCACGGAGGCTATAGAGTCATCGGGGAAAGATTAAGACTCACAGGGGGCTATAGAGTGAGCCGTGAGGTACTATTTCACGCGTCGGCACACGCGTTATTTCATTTCCTAGTCGACAAAAACGCATCTATATATGGACGAGGGGCTATAAGCATGAAGGATAAGAGACGCGTACACCTTCGACGCCGTGCCGTGACGTTGCCTGACGTTGCCGACGATCGCGCGATACGCGGTGCACTTCACGCCGATTGCGCTCGTTCGACTTTCTGTTTACGTTGCGAGGTGGATCGAGGATTCGGCCGGACGCAGTTGACACGCGTGTTTATATTCTGTTCTCGGTTTCGGGATCATCTGTGTGACACGCGGCTGGACTGCGTATTTTTGAGCCGGTTGCGGCAACGCCGTCTCGGCGCCGTGCGCACTGCCAAGATTTAATTCTGCTGTCGGCACCTGGGCTAGGAGTTATGACACGAATAACCCTGCGCCGCGGAGAACGGTTAATTGGGACTAATTAGCGCGTGCCGCTATCGACCATCCTTTCGTCTCCTCACTCTGATTCAGGCGAATAAGAATCGCAGCGCGGTATTAACGCGGATATTTTTTACCAGCGTTTTCATAAGTAGAGAGTAACGTGAAATCGTTAACTCAGGCCCGATTCCACAAACGTGTGAAATTAAAACTCTTAATTTCTTTTCAATTTTATATTTGAAAAGTGAACAATAAATAGTTGAAACGAGATTAAAGTTAATCTCTCTCACATTTGTAAAACCTGACCTTAATTAAGATTGTAATTCTCATCTGTGTACTGACATCGAGGAAGATGAGGAATTGATTTAACGCGAGTTCACTCTCTCTCCTTTTTGCAGGAACGATATATATGTAATATAAGGGAGGAATCTAGTGGATTCAACGTCGCCGCCATCGACCCTGCAAAAGTACGCTATTAATACGGTCCTGTGTGTTTTTCATCGATACTGCCCGTTGCCGCACGCTATTCCGTCGCTTCGTCGCATAACAGGTCGATCGCGCACGAGCGGAATCACACTCTGTCCCTGAACATAGGCTAGGAGCGAAGTCCAGAGACTGAACCTTCCACTTCTCCTGGAGCAGCTCGAGGACGCGACGAGGTGACGACGCGCGACCGTCCGTGACAGACTGTGACAGCGCGGTGTTATCTCCATCCTGCGTCCCACCACCGCGGGATTGTCGTGTGCGTGTGGCATTTTGTGAACTTGTGCCCAACCACCCAGATGCCGTCTAAAGATCATCGCCGAGACTTTCGCCAGCCACGTGATCGGCAAGTTTGATTTCGTTTACGTTTGCGTCAAAGTGCCGGCCAAATTGAGTTCCTTGTCATTCATGAATTAGCAGAATTAATGACCGTTCTGAAAAACTTGTACTTCCTCATTCCGATTTGATAATCAGATGTTGTTTACATATCTTAAATACAGAGGAATATTTGGCTTTGATTTCATGTTTTTAAGAGAAACTTATGACAGAGAATCTGGCCATGAACAATTTTGTCAAATCTAAAGTGGGAAAGAAGAGAATACATACTGTCACTTTTTATACATGCTATTTCATTCTAAATTATACCTATTTTACTTATTTACTTATCTTACTCATTCTAATTGACTAAAGTTGACAAAAATGGGCTATTCAGAAATTTGTCGTCTCATGGTCGTATGGGATGTTATAATCTCTAACCCTGTTATAATCTCTAATCTTTTCCATATTTAGCATATTCTTATTTTTGTAATTATATCTTAAATAACTAAATGCTAACCAAACATGGATAAAGTGAATATAGAATTAAAAGCACTATCGTTCAGACTATGAACCTCACTAATATAGCATTCTTAGTTACAAATCAGCATTGGTATAGTTATGATATGATAATAGCAATGATTCATCAGTTAATATGATCAAATTAAAGGCAGTGATACGACGTAGAACTAAGAGAAAAGTGCTTATACAGTATTTTTCATTGTAACTATGGACAGAGAATAGAAAAACAGCTTTTGGCACATAATTTTAATATGTTGATGGTCATAAAATTTTTAATATAAATATGCAACCTATCTATATTAAGTAAAAGGTTATCGTAATATAATTTAGTTAAAAAGTTTTAAAAAATATACAGAATTTATGGGTTTAACAAAGATACAATATTTTTAATGAATTTATTTATGTATCAATGGAGAAATAATTTTCTTGCAACTGAAACGTAAATGTATTTCTCCTTATGTGAAGCATCCTACATTCTAAATTTAGATGCAATCTCTGTGCTCAATGTATATTTAAAGTATAAATTAGATAATGTAACCTCTTAGGGAGAAAATTACTGCCGAAGATAGACCAATTGAGGTCTAACCATTGTGGAGTGTTTGTTCTGTAATTTTTTATGCTTTATGTTTTTCTATCGTTATATAATATTTATAAATTTATAACGCTTAATAAATATTAGAATAAAATTATAAATTTTAAATTTTAAATAAAAAAAAATTATAAATAAATGTATATACGAGATATACAAGTTTTGCAGTTGAGCTTGCTTGTTTTGTCACGATTTATTTGAAGAAAGAGTCTATGAATCATAGCAAGATAAAAAATTATCATAAGTCGGATATATCGTCTCTACTCCATTGATATTAAATTTATTTAATGATATCAAGAGATAATCTCTCTGGTTTCAGATAAATTTTTAATTTTTGGTACTAATTATTAGAATTGCATCTTTTACTTTTTACAACTTAAAATGATAAAATATTAATTCATTGATTGATTCTAATAAAAGTAGATTAATAATAGCAATAGTAATATAACATGATCATTGTTATTTTATAAGATATTATACAATATTGTACTACTTTTATATTTTTTATAGCATTCTTATATTTGTAATTTATTATGTACATAGGTTCAACGTGAACTTATTGAAACAAAATAGATAGATGACCATCTTCTCAGAACAAAGGTATGGCAAGCTTGATGGTGAACACCTCTAGTAAAAACAGTTCGCGCAGTGGATCTCCTAGTAGGACAACTTCGACGTCTCAACTGCATCAGCAACAACCGACAGCAAACTTGGATCATACTCCAAGATTGCGTAATGCCCCAATGTAAGATTCTATTAGTATAATAGACGTACATACAATTTACTATTATTGCATGTCATTTAATATTCAATTTCTTCAATAAATCGTATAAAATCTATTTACATATGTATATACGTATAATTTACTTATCTATTAACTTATTTTACTGTTGCTTATTATAATATTCCCAATTTTAAAATTTATTAAATAAAATATTTTTAAGATTAAATCTGTTTAAAAATGAAAAAAATTATAATAATAAATATACATTTATTAAATATTTGTTTCAGTTCTCAAGGAGAGGGTAGCACAGGCAGTGGAAGTAGTGGTGGTGGCGGTACCGGAAGTAGCCTCAACATGAAAAGCAGCAATAGACAAAGGTCACCAGGAAATTTAATTCGTACAGGGGATGCTATGGATGAACCAAGTAGTATTTCAAACACTGCCGAACCAGACGAGTTTGTGCCAAATGTTCATCCACCGACTGATGACGAAGGAGTACGTATTTCTGACTCATTTTAAATACCTTGATTCTGATGAGGTATAAGATAATAAACGTTCTGCATTAAAAACAGCAAGATTGTTACTTTAGCTGGATCTAATGTGTATATGCAACGTACAGCATGTCTTTGTGCTCTTATATAAAGAGAGTTACATAATATTGCTATTGTCGGTACAATAACTAACACAGTAGGTTGCAAAGTCATCAATTACTATATACAGTTAAATTATAAATTCAAAAATAATATAATTATGCGTATATTTTATGCAATTATAGTTTCTTCCATTTTTAGACTTTTCATCCGATAAATAAATTAAAAAATCTTATATTTCTCTTTAAAAAAGAAATAACAGAATAAATAATAATATATATGAAAAATATTGTTTTTTATAGGAACAATATCACACAACCCAATCGTTCCTATCAAATGGTTCTTCTGAGTTGATAAGCGATGATGTCGACTCTAGTGCAGCACGGGTTCGTCAAGCTATTGAACATATTCAAAGCAAAATTGCTAAAACGCGAGAACAGATAAGAATAGAACAAACCACGCGGGATGGTAATATAAAGCTCTTTTAATTTTTATTTAAGATAAAAACAGAATGTTGTTATACATGTTATTTGCTCTTTAGAAAACGTCAATGAATATTTGAAATTGGCTGCTAATGCGGATAAGCAGCAATTAACTAGGATTAAAACGGTATTCGAAAAGAAGAATCAAAAATCGGCGCACAGTATTTCACAGTTACAGAAAAAGTTAGACAGCTACACAAAGAAATTAAGAAATTATGAGATGAATGGTGCACCGACGAGTCATAGACAACCGAGGGAAATGTTACGCGACATGGGACAAGGACTTAAGTGAGTTATACATAAATTATTCTTTTAATTGTAATTATATCTACAGAAAAATGTTTAAATTTATTACTGAATAATGCCCGTATAAATTATATACATATATTACATATACATGATAAGCAATATCTTTGGCTAATTTGGGCTTGTATTCCAGACATGTAGGAGGAAACATCAGGGATGGAATCACTGGTTTTTCAGGGTGAGTGTTGATACGAAAATAGATCCCATGCTCAAATATGCTGAAACTCTATTCTTATATGGTTGATTCATCATTTCTTTTTAGACTCGCACTGCCATTAATATCCTTTCAATTTAAAATTAACACAAAATATGTTAATTATTTACAAGAAATCATTTTTTAAAATATAGTTAAGCAATACGTTATACACTTATTTATATGTTTAATTATATTCTATTGCAGAACTGTAATGTCTAAACCAAGAGAGTTTGCTCATCTTATTAAAAACAAATTTGGAAGTGCAGATAATATAAATACTTTATCACGTAAGTAACAGTATTAATAAATTTTCAGTGAAGTTTACATGATTTGAACTGAATATATACTTGTTACAATATTTGGTTAAAACATTTTTAATTAATTGAGATTAATAAATACAATATAATCTATTTAAATGCAAAAAATAAAGTTCTATAATTCTTACAATATGATTCAGATAATTTATTCTTGTCATTTAATTAAAAAAATGTAAAATATATTTAGATAAGAAAATAAATATCTTTTAACATTTTTGCTATCATGGCAGTTGAGAGTAGTAAGTAATGTGTTGTCCAAAGAGCGAGAGTTATATTACACTTTATTATACGCTTCATGCACAGTATTCTTATTTTTTTGTCTGCTTCAAGCTTCTTTCTTCTTTACCAAGAAATGATTAATGATAATACATTGTTTATAAAGTATGATTAAAAATTAGTTAGCTTATATACTATATGTTCTTTGCTTTTGACTTTGCTTATTAAATTTCTATTTTATTTTTTAATGCAAAACAGTTACTCAATATAATTTTACCACATGTTACGTTGCTTATACTTATTTAACATTATATTATTTTGTAGCAGAATATTACATGATTTGCGATAGCTTCTATGAGTACACATTTGCCTTTCTTTATTTACTATCAGTTATCCAATACTCTCTTGTAATTGATGCTAAAGTATACGATAACCAATTGTTTTACTTCATTATCATGATTTTAAAAATACATTTTATACTGTAAAACGATTGATCTTTTTAAAAATAAAACAAATGTAAGACATCTAAAATAAAACAGGAACGAGAATTTAACTATTGTTTGAGGAAACTGAATAACATACTAACTTGAAAAATAATATTACTTCAAAAGGCCAAGCTTTGGTATTGGATAACATTCTAACTTGCCACCTCTGTGTCTCTGCAGATGGCTCGACTTTTTATGTAAACGATACACCGCATGCAGGTAATGGTGATAACGCTAGCGTTGAAGATGATAAAACTCATCACGGATCGGCTACACTTCCGGGTGGATGCAGTCTGGGATCTACCCAAAGTGCAGCGGCTATAAAGTTTCCATCTGAGGAAGGATCGGAATGTTCTAGCGTAACTAGTGAAAGCGGCCCTGGTAGTAGAGGACAGCCGCATACGTGTCACAGTAATAATGCAGCCTTGAGCCTCAAATCTATTTTTGCAGAACTACAGGAACATCGGGAGAATCTGGATCGAATGAGAGAAAAATTAGATAGTGTAAAGGTTTGTATTTAATGTTATTTAAATATCCAGTGATTTAAATTAAAGTATATTTTCTAAAAAAATTACTTACGTATATCTATTTTTACAAATATTTGATTAATCTCTTTTTCTTTAGACATTACAACAGGAAGTGACATATCTTTCCCATTCCCTCCAAGAAGAACGTTTCAGATGCGAACGTTTAGAAGAGCAGATTAATGATTTAACAGAATTGCATCAGAACGAAGTAGAAAACTTGAAGCAGACTATCACAGATATGGAAGAGAAAGTGCAATATCAAAGTGAAGATAGATTACGAGATATACATGAGATGTTAGAGAGTTGTCAAACTAAAATTTGTAAAATGGAACATCAACAACAACAGCATCAACAATATGTGACGTTGGAGGGTATAGATAATAGCAATGCCAGAGCGTTAGCTGTAAAATTGATAAATGTATTATTGACAGTATTGCAAGTTGTTTTGCTCCTTGTTGCAACAGGTGCTGGTATTATGATGCCTTTTCTCAGAACTAGGTAAGATTATTACTGAGATATTTTTTTTTCTTTTATTTTTTTGATACCACTTTTTGGTTTACTTTCTGTATTCTGGAGATATTAAACAATTAATGAACCATTTAGACTCGTATTCTCCATCATGTTTATATTTGTCTCTATTAGATGTCTACAGATTTCTGTACGATGTAAGCAGGAAGTTGAAATATAATTGTACAATAATGAATATTGTTTTTGTATATTTAATATAAATAACTTATATATTTCTTTTATTCATTTTCATCATAATCTGTCATAATGCAATCATCTGAATTTATTTTGCACATTCATTATTTTGTTTTGTTTTCGCATGTCTGTTACAGCTGTACTAAGCCTCATTGTTTCATGTGCAGGGTGCGTATATTAACGACTACATTCGTTGTACTGGGCATAGTGTTTGTGTTAAAGCAATGGCCTGAGGTACATGATGTTGGCAGCCACCTCATGCGCCATCTCAAACAGACGCTCGCCATGAAGTAGCATTGTAAGTAAATGAAATTTTTACTTGGTGCTTAATTGCCGTTAACATGTAGACGAAATGTAATGTGGTATTATATTTTATAAAAAGTAAATAAAATTAAAGTTTCCAAATAATATGTCTTAGAAAGAGAGAGAGAGAGAGAGAGAGAGAGAGAGAGAGAGAGAGAGAGAG